ACTGTTGGTGGAAAGGAAAGTACAGCCATTTTGGAAAACAATATAGAGGGTTCTCAAAAATGAATAACACTACCATATGATCCAGTAATCCCACTTTGTGGTATGTATGTATGTATGTATGTATATATATATATATATATCTCCAAAGTAAATTAAATCAGTATGTTGAAAACATACCAATTATTACCTGCATTCCCTTGGTTACTGCATAATCATTCACACTAGCCAAGATATAAAATCAGTCTTCAACAGAAGAATGGGTAAAGGAATGTGATAAAACAAAATGGAATACTAGTCAGCTGTAATAAAGGGTAGTCTATCATTTGTGTACATGCATGAACCTGGAGGACATTATGCCAAGTGAAATAAGTGAGGCACAGAAAGACAAATACCGCATGATCTTACTTATATATGGAATCTAAAAAAGTCAAACTCATAATAGCAGACAGGAGAATGGTGATCACTAGGGGCTGGGAAGGGGGTGCGGAGATGCCGGTCAAAGGATATAGAATTTCAGCTATAGAGAAGGAAAATGTTCTAGAGACATACTATACAGCATGGTGATACAGGTAATAATGTATTATGTACTTGAAAATTGCTAAGCAGGTAGATTTTAAATGCTCTCACCTCAAACTATAAAAAAAGGATAGCCATATGAGGTGACTGATTAGTTTGATTGTGGTAATCACTTGACAGCATATACATATTAAAACACCTGTGCCAGCCGGTGGAGTGGTTGTTAAGGTGCTGGATCCCATATGGCTGATTCTACAGTTTGAATCCTGGACTCAGTGGCTTGAAAAACATCCTGGGCATGTGTACGTGCATGCCCAAAATTCTGAGAGAAGAATGGAGAAGGGATTGTGGTATAGCCATCCCTCCGCAGGGAAGGATTTCTTACTTTCCCTCTCTCTCTGTCTCTCTCTGGTAAGCATATACACCCTATGGCAAAAATCTAAAAAAAAAAACAGTGAAAAAAACCCCAAAAAACAAAACCTATCATGTATACCATAAATATACACAATCTTTGTTTGTTAATTATACCTCAGTAGTGCTGGGGAAAAGAAAAAGCAACTACAAAAAAGTAAATAAATGGGGAATAAGATGAAGAATGGAGAAATCCTAGTAAAAGTATTGATAGTAGACAGTAAGGTGGCCGGTAGGTGGCGTGATGGTTAAGGGAGCCAGACTCCCACATGGCTGACTGCAGTTTTGAGTCCCAGACCTGATGGTTTGCTTTCTCATGTTCTCTCTCTCTCACTCTCTCTTACTCTGAGCCTCTCTGGTCAAATTAAAATAAGTAAATGAAGAGATAAATAAAGTTAAATAAAATAATTCTTTAAAAAATTGAAGATAGTAAACATTGAGATCTAACTGAGGAAACTACTGTACTGAAAAAAAAAAAAACCCAAAAAAACAAACTATAATGTTAAGACACCTTAGCAATATAAAACTAATAATGCACTAAAATTAGAATATTGGTACTAATTTCTTAATCTTTTACAACAGTGATTTAAAATATACCACACAGGGAACTAACAGTTGCCATAATGGCTCTGGACTCCCGTGTAGTTGACCACGGTTGAAGTCCCAGACCTGGGAGCTTAAACTCACGCCAGGCACATGTGTGTGCGTGCCCAAGATCCTGAGAGGAGAATGGAGGAGAAGGGATTGTGGCGTGGCCATTCCCCCTGGGGGGTGATTTCTTGCTTTTTGTCTCTCTGTCTTTCTGATGAGTGCACGTGCACTATAGCAAAAAAAAAAAAAAAAAAAAAAAAAAAAAAAAAAAAAAATCTTCTGATGAGGGGAAGGTGACTAAAAAAAAAAAAAAAAAAAAAAAAACAAAAGAAAAAGAAAAGAAAAAAAATACACACACACACACATTTTTATATGCTAAGGTAAGGTGGTAATTGATCAATTATTAATACTTTAATACATACCTCTGGAATGGAAGTTTCCATTAAAGATAGTGGAGGAGGAATACACCCACTATCTTGTGAAATTTCCACTGGTTGATAAATAACCTCGGAAGGTTGCAGGTATAAAAATGGAGCAGAAGAGGCAGAAGACTAAAATATAAAGTCATATTTTAAATTCAGACATGATTAAACCAAAAAACATATCCAATAGATCAAATAAATTTTTTTGTATTTTCCTAAAATTCTTTCTCAGGGATAACATAGAAGTATCTTAGCAACAGACTAGAAACTCTGGGTTGTTATTAAGTCCAGTTGTTAATTGTCATTAAAGAACTTTATTACTGATAAGTACTAAAACTTCTTAAGTGTCTCAACATTTCATATATAGATTCAGATAATCAAAGTAGATATGTTAATACCACCATTAAAGGTTATAATAATATGACTAACAGAATTTAAATTGGTGTAAAGGTCTGTTCTCAGCTCTGTGATTTTCCATGAAAGTGGGAAAATGTCATTAAACAATCGTTTTGGTAGTATATTAAATGTTATCAAAAGTTGGAAAATAGAATATTTAGGATCATTAGTCAAACTTAAGCAAAATTTGAAGTGAAGCCAGAAAAACACATTTTCCAATAGTAAAAAATTCATTTTTATGTTTATAGAACACATATTTATAAAATGCTTTAACTTATATGACTCATTTGCTACTTATAAAAAATCACATAAGGCGACTTATGAAGGTATATTATCATTATATTCATTTTACAAACGAGGAAACTAAAAATATAGTGGTTAACTGAACCACTGAAGGAATTACATTATATAAACAGAAGAGTAAGGTCTCAAACTTAGTTCTCCTGATTTTAGTATTCATGCAGAATACAAGAATATAATGAAAGAAGAATTTGTAATTGGATACTGAAAGTTAATATTTACCTGAGGAACACCCCACTGCCATTGTCCTGGTAGACACTGTGCAGGGGCCTAAAATGAAAAAAACAAAACAAAACAAAAAAAACAAAAAACAAAACAAAACCAAAAAACACAAAACCAAAAAAACAAAAAACCATCCAGATTATAAACAAGAGTTAAAACTGGATATTTATATGCAAAAGAATGATGTTGAGCCCTCAAACAACATACAAAAATTAAATCATATTTAAAAAATGAACTCAAAAACAGATCAGAGACATAAATATAAGAGCTAAAACTATAAAAACACTTAGAAGAAAAACATACATGTAAATCTTTGTGACCTTGAGTTCAGCAGTATTTAAAAAATTATGACATTACAAGCACAAGCAGTAAAGCCACAAAAGAAAAAAGACAGATAAATTGGACTTCACTAAAATGTTTTCAAAACTTTTGTGCTTCAAAGTGCACTATCAACAAAGTGAAATACAACCCACAGGATGGGAGAAAATATTTACAAATCATGTATCTGATAAAGAATTCATATCAAGAATATATAAATAGCTTATAAGTCAATAATAAAAAGATAGGTTACTCAACTTAAAAATGGGTAAATAATACAGACTTTTTTCCAAAGATGATATCCATATGACCAGTAAGTACATTACAGATGCTCAATATCACTAGCCTTTGAGGAAATACAAATCGAAACCACTGTATAACACCACGTCATACCCACCAGGATGACTATGATAAAAGAGGAGGACAGAAGTGTTGGAGAGGAATTGGGAAATTAGACCCTCTTAATCTGCTGAGGAGAATGTAAAATGGCACAGCCCTTTTGGAAAACAGTATGACTCTTCTTTAAGATGTTAAAGTTAGTTACCACATAACTCAGCAATTCTACCATAAGTGTACAAGCTAAAAAAATGAAAACATACGTTCACACAAAAACTTTTAAATGAATGTTCATCACAGTATTACTTATAAAAACCAAAAAGTAGGAGCAACTCAAATGTCTATCAACTGACAAATGAATAACAAAATGTGGTATGTCCATACAATGGAATATTATTCAACAATGAAGTATTGATAAATGTTACTACATAAATAAATTTTGAAAAACATCATACTAGGTGAAAGAAGGCAGTCACAAAATACCACATGAGGAAAATCTATAAAGACAGAGAAGTAGATTACTAGGGTTGAGGAGTAAAGATGACTGCTAATGGGTAAGTTTGTTTTTAATGTATATGTGTGGTATGGTTAAATGTTCTAAAATTAACTGTGATGTGGTTGTGCAATTTACTCTGAATTTAGTAAGAACCACTCATTTATACACTTGTAATAGGTGAATTGTACAGTATATGAATTATTTTTAAATAAAGCTGTTGTTTAAAATGGGTCAATTTATATAAGGTATTGTAATATGAAAATTTAAGACTATCTCTTAAGATGTTGCATTATTTCTTAATAATGATTTTTTTACTTTATTATTTAATTAAAAAAATTGATAAAGGGCATGTGTGCTCTTCAGAGAGAGAATAAGGAAAAGTGAGAAAGTACTCTCCAGAGGGGATGGTCATGCCACAATCCCTTATCCTCCATACTCCTCTCAGAATTTTCGTCATGCGTGAAGACATGCCTGTGATGTCTGGGAATCAAACTTTGTAGTTGACCACATGGGATTCAGCCACCTTAACTACCATGCCACCAACTAGCCTCTTACATATTTTTTGGTTTCACTACAGGGGATGTGCACTTGCCAGAGAGGACAAGAGAGAGAAGGAAAAAAAGAGAGCAGGAAAGTGAGAAATCACCCCTGGGTGGACGGCCACTCCATAATTCCTTCATTCTCCTCTTGGGATTTTGGGGACACACGCACATGCCCCTGGCTTGATTTTCAAGTTACTAGGTCTGGGACTTGGATCACAGAGTTGACCGTGAGGGAGTCTAGCACTGTAACCACCACAGCACCTGCTGGCCCTTATTATTCATTTTTGGTAATTTTTTTTATTATTAAAGTTAAAAAATAAATAAGAAAACTCCATCTTTCACTTAAACAAAACCTCTGTAAATTTAGTGCTAACTACTTCAACTGCAAAGGGATATGCCATTGTATATTAATGATGACCAAGAAAGAGAGCAAAGGAAGATTCTTATCAAAGTGGCAATTTTAGGGGCATAATGATAATAAATATATAACTGGAAAGAAATAAGAAAAATATTTCTTACATTACAAAATGTTATGTTAAAAACTGGCAACAAAACCTTTCCAAATCTATACAGGAAACTTATCTTTAATTTTCTATCTGTTCCAAGCAGAAAAGTATAGAGTGCCAGAGTCAAAGTGAAAGTTAAATTGTATTAGAAACTTTTGATAATATATCTTACATGTCCAGTTACAGTTATATGTAATCAATTAATGGAAGACTTGTTACACTTGATAAAGCAACAAGCAGAGGCAACATTACTCTTTCTCTCAACATTTTAAATTTTCTGTAAGGCACGAGCACTCACTGGAGAGACAACAGGAAGAGAGAGAGGAAAAGTGAGATAGCACCCCAGAGGGAATTGCCACTGCAATCCCTTCTCCTCCATTCAATTTTCAGGATTTTAGGCATACAAAACATACACCTGGTGTGTTTTCCAACCCTCTGAGTCTAGGACTTGAACTGCACAGTTGGCCATGTGGGATTCAGCTGCTCTAACCACCATTCAACCTGCTGGCCCTATGCTATTTATTTTAATATACATTATATTGACTATAGTAACAAAAAACTGGTAACAGTAACATTTTAAAAAGTCGCCCAGTTGTCCACTACCTGCCTCTTAATTTGAAAATATCGCTAAAGGATTTTTAGATGAAATGTTAGTCAAGGAAGCAAAACTGACCTCATTACATTTAGTAAGAGAAAGCAGTCTATTCTTTACTGGTATGACATTGTTTAGTTCCCTCATAAAATAAAGAAGTTAAAAACTACTAGCAAGGTTTAACTTTCTCTTTTTAATTAATATTTATATGAGAAAAAAGGAAAGTTACTTAAAAAATGACTAAAAGTAGCAGAGAGGATTTTTTTTTTTTAAGCAGAGAGGATTTTAATTATAATTAATGTTTACCTGGTAGTGATATGCAGGCTGCTGATAAACAGGCTGAGCTACCATCACAGGGGAACTAGATATAGAGCGTGACTATTAGACAGAAAAACAGATAAATAATTTTAGATAAAATTCTATAAACTAGGTCATAATAAAATTTATCTCATATTGTTTCAAAAGCCAGTCAATTTATGTTTTATCACTAGAAAGTTATTTTTCTACCTATTGATATTATTACCAACTCTACTTAAGTCTGTTTCTTGAAATGGTCACATATGCCTACTTCCGCATAGTTCAACAGTAATCCACAAACCACCTGAAAAGTCGCTTTTCATTGGAAATGTAACATCTCCAAATATGTGAAAATATAGTTCGAGCAGAATATTTAGAGGAAAACGGTAGCTGGAATTAGGATGAAACTACCTATTGGGTCGTCAAAAAACTCATGGTGCATTTTAGCATAGAAAAACATAGAAGACTATGTCATGAGTTTTCCAATGACCTAATATTTTCACTGTGGAGACTAGCAGTAGACAGTTAATATTTGCAATAGCATTTAGAACCAAATGAATAATTGCACCTCATTTTACCACTGCTTTTCCACTACTTAAAATTAACATTATATTCCCTTATTATATGTTTACCTGAAGCAAATACATTATTCTTTAGGCATTTCTTAAATTATATTACTTAGTAATTTGATATTTAAATGTGCTAATTATCCAATAAACTTTTAAATAATATATCTATGTTGAAGAAACATTAAGTAACATTTGATTATTCAAAGTGATAGCATAAGTCCCCAAACTTAAAATCAGATCATCAATAAAAAAGGCATATTGTACTGCAGACTAGGTGAAATTGGCCCTAATGATAGCTATTAAAATTCAAGTTCTACTATGGGATCTAAATGATAGTTTAAAGTTCATATCCCCAAAACTGAAGAAAAGTCTTATAATTTTATACAATTAGCAGGCTATCATATGTTAATAAAGTTGTACCACAGATTAACATTAGAATATAGTAATGTAATTTTCTGTCAGTAGATTAAAAAAGGAAAAAACCCATAATAATAATAGCATGCATTCAATATACAAAAAGCATTTGTTAAAATTACTTATTTTTGTATAATAAAAATTAAAAAGATTTTATTATTATTACTTTTAATTTGCTGTAGGGCATATGCTCTCACCAGAGAGAGACAGACAAAGAGAGAGAGAGAAAGTGAGAAAGCAAGCTGCTAAGTTTAGGACTTGAATCACAGTCTGCCACATGGGAGTCCAACACGTTAACCATCACGCCACCTGCTGGCCCTATAATAAACTCTTATTACTGGATCATCAGTAAAGCTATGAGGCAGGACCAGCAGATGACATAATAGTTATGTCACTGGACTCCCACATGGCCAACTGTGATCTGAGTCCTGAACCTGGAGGCTTGAAACTCATGCCAGGCATGTGTGCATGCATGTCTAATATCCTGAGAAGAGAATGGAGGAGAAAAGAACATGGCATGGCCATCCCCCTGGTGGGGTGATTTCTCACTTTTTGTCTTTCTGTTTTTCCAGTGAGTGCACATGCCCTATGGCAAAAATCTATCTCTTTAAAAAAAAAAAAAGGAAAGTTATGATGCATTTTTGCATAGAAAAACATAAAAATATATGTTTTTTCTAACTATCCAATAAAAAATAACTTCTTTTATTGATTTAGGGGATAATTCTCAACCATGAGTAATTTTTCCCCCTAAGGAGTGTTTGGAAATGGTCAAGGACATTTTTGGTTGTCATAAGTCTTAGAAGGTCATGGTCACTTCTAAACATCCCATAATATACAGGAGAGCATCACCAGAAAATCATGTGGCTCAAATGTCAATAGTGCTAAGGTTGAGAAACTGGTTAAGAATGTCTTTTAAAGCCTACAGAGTATGTGTACGTTTTTGTCTGTGCCTGTGTATACATTGGGAGGTCTTCAAGAAGTCCATGAAAGATACATATTTTGATAAAACTATGCATGCATTTCAATTTTTTTGCATCAATATAAACTTGTGCTTTAAGTTCATTTTCCACAATAGAAAACTTAATGGTGAGTCGTTAAATTCATTCTTTCTTTCAAGAATAAGGTCATGACATTATTACTACATCAATATGATACCAGTGATAATGGTAGCGCAAAAAAAGAAAAAGAAACAAATATACAGAATTATAAATTGGATGATTGTCTAAACAAGAATTGGCAGTTACTGATACAAAGTGAACTTTGAAAAAAATGAAGCATTACTATAGACTAGTCACAACCTATTAGGAAAAGTGATTTAAAAAAATAACATTCATAAAAGCAACAAGAGTATAGGGACTAAGAATAAATTAAACAAAAGATATATCAAACATTTTATGGAGAAAGAAAATATTTTTTGATGGACATAAGCAAAAGAAGACTTAAATACATGAAGAGATATACCATGTTCAAAAATGGGAAGATTAAAAAATACCAAAATGTCCCCAATTAATCTACATACTTAATGCAGTTCAATAAAAACTCATCAAATATGAGGCATGGTAGCTAAGGGTGCTAGACTCCCACATGGCTGATTGCAGTTTGGGTCCCTGACCTGGTGGCTCATTTTCTCACTTTGTGTCTCTCTCTCTCTCACTCTGTCCCTTTCTGGTCAAATTAAAATAAACGAATAAATAAAGTTAAATAAAATAATTCTTAAAAAAATCCCAAACCTCAACAAGTAATACTTGCAGAACTGAACAAGCTGAATTGTATAATTTATACTTATGAAAGCAAAGACTGAAGAACAGATGAGAAGGGCCAGCAGATGGCATACATTACAGGACTCCCACATGACTGACCGACCATGTTTTTAAAAATCACACCAGGTGCGTGTGCCTGCATGCCCAAGATCCCAAGAGGAGAATGGAGGAGAAGGGATTATGGCATGGCCATCCTCCCTGGGAGATGGTTTCTCAATTTCCTTTTCATTATCTTGGTCTTTCTCTCCAGTGAGAATAAGCCCTATGGCAAAAACCTCTTAAAAGAAAAAAAAAAAAAAAAAGAATAGATTACTCTTGAAGAAGAATAAGGTGAGAGGATTTCTTTTATCAGATTTCAAGACTTGTTATAAAGCTATAGTAATAAAAACAGAATTGGAGGGAACCAGCAGTTAGTGTAATGGCTATGTCACTGGACTCCCACATAGTTGACTGCTGTTCGCGTTCCGGACCCGGTAGCTTAAAACTCACGCCGGATGCATGTGCGTGCATGCCCAAGATCCTGAGGGAGAATGGAGGAGAAGGGATTGCGGCGTGACCATCCCCCCGGGGGGTGATTTCTTGCTTTCTGTTTCTATGTCTCTCTCTCTCTGTCTGAAGAGCACACGTGCCATATAGCGCAAACCTCTCAAAAAGAAAAAGAAAAAACAGAATTGGACAGGGCAAACAAATATTCCAATAGAACAGACTAGAGAGCTCAGAAAGAGATCCACACAAAGAAAGTTAGTATTTTATAGGGAATTCATTTCAAAACAGTAGGAAAAAGATGATTAGTCATTACATAAACTAGGTTTAAGATCTAGATGTGACAATCAGCAATACTATATTATTTTAGAAACAAAATATTGAAGAACATCTGTATTTTATAATAAAGAAGAGCTCTATTAAATTAAGACAGTAAAAGATGACATCATAAAGGAAAAACATTAACACCAAATGTTACATTAAAGAATGAACAAATGAAATATTTTTTAATAAAAAAAGATAGTGGATGAGTTACAAACTGGAAAAAAATATTTACAGCCCACAAAACTTATATAATGAACTCAAGAAAAAGACAAATCACCCAAACAGAAAAATGGACCAGCAATTCATAGAAGAAACTGGAATGGTAAATAAATATATAAGAATAGGCCCAGCCACTGTGGCACAGTAGTGATATAAGTAAGTATAAGTAAAATAAATAAATATTTAACAAATATTTTATTTGTTCTTTTTTTAACGTAACAAATGTATTAATACTTTTCCTTTATGATGTCAGCTTTTACTGTCTTAATTTAATAGAGCTCTTCTTTATTACAAAATATAACCTGTACATCTGAAAACCTTGTGGCTGACTACAGGTTCAGATCCTGAGGTTGGCCTGAGAACATGTAATGGGTGCCCAGGATCCTGGAGATCTGGAGGGCTAAGGAAGGAAACTGCAGAATGGTAAGATCCTGATAAGAGTGCTATTATCTCTCTTCCTCTTTCTCCTTTTCTGTCTGCCTTGTGTGCACATACCTGCTATCATATATATGTATAAAAATACATATGTTCAATCTTATCAGTATTTAGTCAAATGGGAAGTAAAATTTAAATTTAGTAATTTTAAGGGTTGGAAGGAAGATTATGAAGAAATTGGAGCTCTCAGCTACAGTGTAAACTGGCAAATTTTATGTGCATACCTTATGAAAGTAAAATTTGGATTCTATACATATGTCCTAGCCTATGCCCATGTGCGTTAGAGGAGCAAAGAAAATTTCCAGTGATACATGGGCATGAACGACTTTAAGAATACTAATTTTTAGATCCTAAACTTCGTATCTACTCCTTCCTGATTTGATCTGCCTGTGAATGTGTCTGTGTACTATGGATTCTTCCTTTTCAAAATTTCTCCTTTACTATCACCCTCTTTCTTTTTTTTTTTGAGAGGTTTTTGCTATAGGGCGTGTGCGCTCGCCAGACAGAGAGAGAGAGACATAGAGACAGAAAGCAAGAAATCACCCCCCAGGGGGGATGGTCACGCTGCAATCCCTTCTCCTCCATTCTCCTCTTGGGATCTTGGGCATGCACGCACACGTGCCCGGCGTGAGTTCTAAGCCACCGGGTCTGGGACGCGAACCGCGGTCGACTACGTGGGAGTTCAGCGACATAGCCATTACACTAACTGCTGGTTACCCTCTTTCTTCTTAAAGAAAGGTGCACTTCTCACTAATCCTGGATCTTAATATAATAGCTTTGTTCTGGAATATAAATATCAACAGAACATCAAATGAATACATAAATCAAGAAAGAATACCATTAGAAATATGATGAAACCAAACAAAAAAAGAGTTTGTCTAAAAAACATTGAAGGGGAGACAGTATCTTATTGTTATTATTAAGACTTATTTTTTGCCTTTGGGTACAGAGAAAGAGACAGAGAGACAGAGACAATGAGAGGGAAAGTGAGAAATCAACCCTAGCCATGCCACAATCTCTCCTCCTTCATTCTCCCCCCAGGATCTTGGGCATGCATCACATGCACCCATGGTGATTGTGAAGCCACCAGGTTCGGGACTTGAACCATGGATGGCCATGTGGGAGTCCAGTGACATAACTGCTATGCCATCTGCTGGTCCTAACAGTAACTTATTTTATATAAGGAATAAATTTAAAATAGCTGATGATCACAAGGATACATATTAACTCATTCACTTGGATTTAAAATTGAAGTCAGAATATTCTAATAGTAAATTTCATTAGTTGGTAAGTTTTGTGAACTAAATTATAGAGCAGATATTTTCCATTATTAAAATAGATTAAAGAAGGGTCAGCAGGTGGTGTAGTAGTTGAGGCGGTGGTCTGGTTGACTGCAGTTTGAGTCCCAGACTTGGCAGCTTGAGACATCAGGTGTGTGAGTGCTCAAAATCCCAAGAGGAGAATGGAGGAGAAGGGACTGTGGCATGTTCACCCCTCTGGGAGATTGGTTTCTCGATTTCTCTCTCCCTGTGTCTGGTGAGTTCATGCACCCTATAGCAAAATGAAAACAAAACCAAAAATGAACAAACAAAACTCTCTAAAAATAAATAAACTAAAATTATAGGTGTAACATTTAAAGAAACATAGTTAAACTAAATCTACAATATATAATATGCTTAAACTTTGTAAACTTATAATACATTTTATATATCAACCTAAAAATCAATGAATGTATTCATAATTTTTCAGATATAATTTTGGAGGCTATATAACAAAGCCTTGGAAAACCACTGTCTTTGGGACCAGCAGATGGCATTATTGTTATGTCGCTGGACTCCCACATAGCTGACCATGGTCTGAGTCTCAGACCTAGAGGCTTGAAACTTACTCTGGGCATGTATGTGTGTGTGCCCAAAATCCCAAGAGGAGAATGCAGAAGGGCTTGTGGTGTGGCCATTCAGCCCTGAAGGTGATTTCTTGCTTTCTGCCTCTTTTTTTCTTTTCCTTTCTTTTTTTCTTACTATTTTTTTCTTTTAAGAGATTTTTGCTATAGGGTGTGTGTGCTTACAAGAGAGACAGAGACAGAGAGACAGAAAGTAAGAAATTACTCCCACCTCCACCCCCACAGGAGAATGGCTACATCGCAATCCCTTCATCATTCTCCTCTCAGTATTTTGGGCATGCATGCACACATGCCTGGCATGAGTTTCAAGCTGCTGGGTCTGATACTTGATCTGCAGTCGACTATGTGGGAGTTCAGTGATGCAACCATTACATCATCTGCTGGTCCATCTTTTTCTTTCTCTGTCTCTTTGGTGAGCACACACATCCTATAGGAAAAAATCTCTATTAAAAAAAAAGAAATACAGTAAAGCGGCAGGATACAAAATCAACATCTAAAAATCTATAGCATTTCTATATATGAACAAGTTGAATAAAGTAGAGCTGAAGAAAGGAATCCATTTTACCACAAAATGAATAAGATACCTAGGGATAAACCTAACTTAGGAAGTCAAAGCTTTACAAAGAAAACTATGAAAATCTTGGGACCAGCAGTTAGCGTAATGGCTATGTTGCTGGACTCCCATGTAGTCGACTGCGGTTCGAGTCCCGGACCCGGTGGCTTAAACTCACGCCAGGTGCGTGTGCGTGCGTGCCCAAGATCCCGAGAGGAGAAGGGATTGCGGCGTGGCCATCCCCCCTGGGCGGTGATTTCCTGCTTTCTGTCTCTCTATTTCTGTCTGTCTGGCGAGCGCATGTGCCCTATAGCAAAAAAGGTCCTACATAAGAGTGGAGTGGGTGGCATATCACTCCCTGATCCCCAAATAAACTATAAAACTGTGATAATCAAAACTTCATTGGTATTGGCACAAAAACAGCAGGTGGACCAATGGAACAGAATAGAGACCCCAGAAATAAACTCCAAAGCTTACAGCCAACTGGTTTATGACAAAGGATACCAGAAAATCCACTGGTAAAAGGAAAACCTCTTTACCAAATGGTGCTGGAAAAACTGGGTATCCACTTGCAGAAAGATGAAACTGAATTCCCATCTTTCACCATTGATAAAAATCAACTCAAAATGGATCAAACATCTGAATCTAAGACCTCAAACTATAAAACTACTGGTGGAAAACACTGGGGGGACTCTGGGAGACACTGTACTTCTTAAATAAGACTCTCAAGGCACAGGCAATGATCTCTAAAATAGACAAGTGGGACTATATCAGATTAAGAAGTTTTTGCACAGCAAAGGATACAGTAACAAGTGTGAATCGACAACATAGAATGGGAGAATATTTTTGTAAAATGTGCCTCAATAAGGGACTGATAACCAGAATATACAGGGAACTCAAGCAGCTTTAAAAAAAAAAAAAGATTAACCCAATTAAAAGATGGGAAAATGAGCTGAACAAAAATTCTCTAAGGAAGACACATGAACAGCCAAATAGCATATGAAGAAATGTTCAACCTCTCTCATCATAAGGGAGACACAGATTACAACCACAATGAGATACCACCTAACCCCTGTCAGAACGACAAAGATTAAAAATACAAAAAGTGGTAAGTGTTGGTGGGGTTGTGGTGAAAAGGGAACTCTCCTACACTGTAGATGGGAATGTAAATTTGTCAAGCCGCTGTGGAAAACAATATGAAGGTTCCTCAAAGACCTACAAATAGAACTATCATTTGATCCAGCAATCCCACTCCTGGGTATCCACCTTAAGAACAGTAGAATGCTCAATTGGAAAAGCGCTTGCACATCAATATTTACTGCAGCGTTATTGACGATCACTAAGACATGGAACCAACCCAAATGTTCACAAACAAATGAATGGATAGAAAAAGTGTGGCACATATACTATATGGAATACTATTCAGCCATAAAAAACAAGACCCTGGCATTTGATAAAAAGTGGTTGAATATGGAAGATTTACTGCTGAGTGAAGCAAGCCAGGCTATGAAAGAATGTTGTATGTATCCACTTTATATCGACTATCTGCACTCTATGGTAGAGACTGAAATACTGGAGGTCATAAGAGCAATTAAATAGTTATGGATGTTGAAGACTGTTGAATGGTGGGGGAGTGGGAGAGTAGGGAAGATCTAAAGAAGGATAGCACAAGAACAAATAGAGAGGCATGACATTTGTGGGACACAGAAATGGTTTATTACCTGTTGATCATAACATGTATATTATTCTCAACTAGTCTGGTCTGAGAAGTATTTCGTGTTGGATAAATTCTCTTTACACACCAAATGATATATAATGATTAAATGTTTAAAAAAATAATAATGAGAATAAATAATAATCTTAATATGAAAAGCTATTTGATGATGATGATGATGTGGATAGTAATGTCTTTGTTTTGACTGATATGCATGGTAATCGTGCTGGAAGAAGAAATGTTATACAGTGTAAAGATATATGTGATAAAACAATATAAAAAAAGAAAAAAAAGACATCTTTGACTGTGCTATTCACTACTGTATCTCTTGGGCCTAGACTAATATGCTCTTCTTGAGCATACAGGAGATGCTCAACATATCTGTGTTGAATAACTGATTGAATAAATGTGACTATATACACATTGAGAGAAAAAAAGAAAGAGAAAAAAAAAAAAAAAAGAAAAACCACTGCCCTAGAAAAACTCTCACATAATACATAAAAGATCTGAATGTTCAATGTAGCCTTGATTGTAGAAAAAAATCTAAAATGTCCATCAATGGAGAAAAGCTAAAAATTATAGTACACTCACATAATGTAAGAGTATTAAATACTAAAATAAGTGAAGTAAAATAAGTGAACTAGACATACACAGATCACTATGGTATAATATATAAAAGGATCAACATGGTTTATCCAAAACATAAGAGCAAGTAGAAAAATCAGATTACTTACTTAGTGTTTGAAAACCATCCAAATAAATACTATGTATCATTTAAGGATACAGTAATTTGTAGTAAAAACAAAATAAAATGGACAGAAAAGATATTTTGATTACTTCTTAGGAGGCAAAGAGGGTAAGGGAATCATGGTAAGGAGACTTTACCTGAATTTGTCATATTTTATTCCCCTCTTTAAAAATAACTTAAGGAAATATGACAAAATATTGATATTAATTTGAATTGTAGGTACATAGGTATGATATTAGTTATACTTTTTTGTAGTTAAACTATTTTATAAATAAAATAAATATCTAAAAAGCATTATAGTAACAGATGAAAACCCTTATAAAATTACTTACAGGCCAAGGTGGGGGAACAGAAGTTACCTCTGGAGTATGAAAATAAGCAACACCATTATGATAAGTGTAAGGATATCCAGTTGAAGTTGTGAGATACATTGTTCCAGCTGCTGGCATTATACTAGAACCTAAAGCAAAGATTAAAAAATAATAATTGACATGTTCAACTTTAAAAAATGTTACTTCTGAATACTGTTTGGAAAAAATATTTATCTTAACATACCTACAAAACTAAAAACAGAATGTCACAAGTGTTTTTTCCCCCAACTCTGTATGTAAATTTACCTTTGAAGCTCACTACCTAAGGTTTGTTTATTTATTTATTTATTTATTTATTTATTTTATTCTAGGACATATGCACTCACCAGAAAGGACGTGAGAAAGCACCTGCCAGAGGGGATGACCATGTTGCAGTCGCTTCTCTTCCATTCTCCTTTGGGATTTTGGGCATGTATGCACACGTCTTGTTTGTTTTTCACAAGGAAGAGAATGGAGGAGAGGGAATTCTGGTGTGGCTACCCCTTCTAGGGAGTGATTTTTCACTGTTTCTCTTTCTCTCTAGTGAGCGCGTACATGTGCCCTATAGCAAAAATCTCTCTCTCTAGAAAAAAAAACAAAAAACAAAAAACCACCCAAAACCCCACCACTTTACCTTTCTAAGACTGTATTATCTATTTATAAAAAAGGTTGCTGTGAAGAGTAAATGAAATAAATGAAAACCTACATTAGCTTTGCACTGAACAGATTTTTACAAAAACCCTGTTCATTTGTTTGAACATTCATTTATTTTCTATTTTAGCAACCTTACTTCTTAAAACCTAGTGATGGTGATAATGGGCTAAAGAACCATTACTGCATTTTACAGCATTACTCTTGCAACTAACAACAGCAGTCTGACATTATTCAGCATTTTCATATTTTGTGCATTCCATTTTTTATTAACCTGGTGAGGACACTTTTGTTATCTCCTAAATTAACAAGTATTAAGTCAAAAGTAAACTTAGTATCTGTTAACTTCTAAGTCAAAAGCAGAGTGGTCCAAATAAGCACAATCTATTAATTTGTTAATATATAACTTCCTAATGTTTTATACAACCCAGTAGACAGTAGGATGTAACTAAGGAATAATTAGAGAATTATTAATTAAATGTGAAGTTTCTCGTTTTAGCCAAAGACTTTGTAATATATTTAACACATATTTTAGGTAAAAGGTCAGCCCCAAGCCTAGTGGCTAAGGGAGCCAGATCCCACATGGCTGTGTGGTTTGAATCCTGGCCCTGGTGGCTTGAAAAACATGCTGTGTGTGTGTGTGTGTGTGTGTGTGTGTGCCCCAAATCCTGACAGGATGGAAAAATGGAGAAGGGACTGTGGCATAACCATGTCCCCCTGGGGGGTGCTTTCTTCTAACTTCCACTATCTTTCTCTGGCTAGTACATTTGCCCTCTGATGAAACAGACAAAAACTATAGGTCTGGCTAGGCAGAATAGGAGTTAGGCACTACTCTAAAGTAGGATCCACATGGAAGACTAGTTTTAGTTTCCCAGTTGGCTTGTATAATCTAGGCACATATACCTATTATTCTATCTGGGAAAAGCTAGGTGGAAAATTCTTGTGTGAGACCCTGTTGAGGTTGTTTCTCTCATTCTCTTCCATGAAACAAACAAACAAACACAAACCCTAAAACATTTAAAAAAGTAGGTTTATTAGGGCCAACCAGGTGGCATGGTCAAGGAAACTGGATTCCACATGGCTAGATGTGTGGCTCAAGTCCTGGACCTGGTGGCTTGAAAAAACAAGCCTGGCACATACGTATGTATGCCCAAAACCTCAAGAGGAGAATGGAAAAGAAGAGATTACAGCATGGTCACCCCTCCTGGGTGGTGCTTTTTCATCCCACCTCTGGAGAGTACATGCTCCTGTTAAAAAAAAGTTAACTAAAGGATGTCTAATATAATAAATAAGAAGAAGGACACAAATGAATTGAAAGTATTATAGAAAATTGAGGAAGACACACACATAACTTAGCTGATTCCAAAGCTTTAGAAATTGTTCCTTCTGAAATGATGACACATGTGGTTGATTATTCTTACCAGTTTCTGATGTTTGTTCTATATTTTCACTTCAGTATTTTTACTGATTACTTCTTCCTAATTAGTAACTCTAAGTTACTAAATTAATTCTAATTACTTTTGCTATTTTAAATGATATTTTATGATAAAAAGTGATAAAAGGTTTTTCCTTAAAAGTATGTGGTTGTGAAGGTGTTGGACCACCCATGGCCAACTTTGCAGTCTGAGTCCCAGACCCAGAGGCCTGAAAACCATGCCAGGCATGTGTGTATGTATGCCTAAAATCCTGAGAGTAGAATGGAGAAGGAATTGTGAATGTGGTTATCCCCTCTGCTTGGGGATAATTTTTCACTTTCCTTCTGTCTTTCTCCAGTGAGCACATACCCCCCATAGCAAAAGCCTATAAAAAAACACAAAAAACAAAAACTCTAAAAAAAGATATAACAATATTTATGTATATTTTTCCCTAGCCAAAAACTATGATATTATGATATATTCATTTGTAGCATTCATTAGACTGCCAACTTTGTTAAATAACTTTAGTAAAAAATGACATTTTAATAAAGTTCTTTTATTTTTTGGAGAGGTTTTTACTATAGCGTGCGTGCGCTCACCAGACAGACAGAGACAGAGAGACAGAAAGCAAGAAATCACTCCCTGGGGGGATGGCCACACTGCAATCCCTTCTCCTCCATTCTCTTCTCGGGATCTTGGGCACGCACGCACACGTGCCCGGTTTGAGTTTTAAGCCACCAGGTCTGGGACTAGAACCGCGGGCGACCACGTGGGAGTCCAGCGACACAGCCATTATGCTAACTGCTGGTCCCTTAATAAAGTTCTTAAAGAAGGCTAATTTTAAAAAAGAACCATGTAAAAATATTAAAAAATACATTAGCTTTCAATACATACGAGGGATCCCTACTTGTTGTTTTCTTATTGCTGGACCAATGTTCAGTTTCTTATCCTTATAATTAAGTTTTTCAGCCTAAAATAAAGAAAAAATAAATTATTATTTTGGTACTATTATTTATAAAACTGATAAGGAAAATCTATTGAGAGAGAATTTCAAAATTCAGACTATAACAATCTTTGAAAGCAGCAAAGAACAGCAGAAAGGGCCAAGTCTTTGGATTCAAGTAGATCTGGGTCTGAATTCACTTTCAATGCTTGACCTAATTCCTCATTATAATATATCAATTCTCATTGTTCATGAATTTTGCTAATTTGCATCTGCCAATGTACTTAAAATTTATTTGTGACCCCCAAATCATATTCATGATGATTTTAAGATTATTGTTGAACATGCTTAGAGTGGTGAAAAATTTAAGTTCCCCTGATGTTGAGGTCAAACAAGGCAATACTGGGTTGGTCCTGTAGTGCAGTGGTAAGTGCTATGTATAGAAAGTTGGATGCCATGTGTCTAACTATGGTTGGAATTTCAGCCTGGTGGCATGAAAAACACTTCTAATTGTGTGCACCTGCTCCAAATCCTGACAGGATGAAAAAGGATTGCGGCATGATCATGCCCCATTGGGAGGCTGATTTTTCTCCTTATGGGAGTGCAAACACCTTATATTGATAGCATTAAAAGAAAAGGCAATGTTCTTTCTTCTTGTTCCAGCACTTATACTGTAAATAGGTGTTATTTTCACATTCTATTTAGTGTCATATTTTTCACATTGTTGTGCTTTTTGTTGGTTATTCTGTTATTCAAAATGCAATTAACTCAATTGTGGTAATTAAGTGCTGACTAGCATTCCAAAGCACAAGAAGGCTATCATATGCCTTACGGAGAAAATATGTGTTAGATGTGCTTAATTCAGGCATGAATTAAAGTGCCGTTGGCCTTGAGTTCAATGTTACTGGATCAACAATCTATTAAATATGGTGCCTCTAAGTAGAAACATACATAAAACAAGGTTATGTATTGGCTAATTGGTGGCAATATTATGACCAGAGGTTCTCAGGAAACTCACCCTATATTTACCATAGGAACAGTATTTGTTGATTCAGTGTTTGTGGTGACTTTATAGAAAAAGTCTATCATGAATAAATGAATAACAAAAATTGACTAGAATTTTAATAATATACAATTCGAGTGCTGCTTCAAAAATTAAATATTACATCTGCCATAACCTAAGTTATTAAAACAAACTGCAAGTTACAGACTTTTTCTATGAATGTTCTTAGTTTATCAGAAGTTTTTCATAGGAGGGAAATAATCTCACATAAGCTTATTCTAGGAATCCATGCTTGTAGTCTCTTACAGGAATTCAAAATGCTATTAATCCTTCACAAAAGATAAATCTTCCAGTTCTTAGTTTAAGCAAGTAAAGTGAAAAACCATATTAATAATTCATAACCATACTCATATAATGACCTGGAATTTGTTCTTCTGCAGATAAAGTTTCTTGGAGACCAATGCCAATCTTAAGATGCAAATGCATTATGTTTTCTCCTAGCAAGTGATTATTGTACTGGAACCTTATTAAAATAAATACCCTAAAAGATTCATTTCAAAGAAAGAAGTTCCAAAAATAAAGGTAAGTATACCAAAAGACCTTACCTCTTGTAAAATCTTTTGTGCATCTTCTTGTGTTTCAAGAGTGATGAAGCCATACCTAAATAAAGGCATTAATTATTACCAATTACTTTCTTGGAACCTTATATTAATTATACTAAATTTAAAAAACTTTGTTAAGAACGAGCCATTGTAGGAGTAAGCAGCATTCTATACTGCACCAGCAAGGGACTCTTAGAAGAATCATTCACAGACTAACGTTATCATCTCCTCATCTAGGAGACTAAATGAAAACAAAACCCCATAAATCTTTTCTTTTTTTTTTTTGTAGAGATTTTCACTGTAGGGCGCGTGCGCTCGCCAGACAGGCAGAGAGAGACATAGAGACAGAAAGCGAGACATCACCCCCCAGGGGGGATGGTCACGCCGCAATCCCTCCTCCTCCATTCTCCTCTCGGGATCTTGGGCACGCACGCACACGCGCCCGGCATGAGTTTTAAGCCACCGGGTCCGGGACACGAACCGCGGTCGACTACATGGGAGTCCAGTGACATAGCCATTACGCTAACTGCTGGTTCCCAAAACCCCATAAATCTTGAAATAGCTTCAGTCCAAGCTGTATGTAAAGAAGAAAACGAGATAAAATGAATTTCAGTCCAGAGTAATAATCTCATTTTTTAAAGGAATTAATTAACTAATTAATTATTTTCACATGAGTTTTGTCAGAAAAAGACAGAGAGGAAGAGTGAGAAAGCAAGCCATCAGGTCCGGGACTCGAACCACAGTCGGCCATGTGGGAATTCCAGTGCCTTAACCACTACACCACCAGATGGTCCCAAGAGTAATAACCTCATTTTAAAAGAATAAAAGTTTGGGTTAAATAGAAGAATTAAAATAGAAAAAAAAAGGAAAAACAAACAAACAATTTTAAGGGCCATTCAGTGGTTTTGATGCTTAGGGCAGCTGAATCCCACATGGCCTACTGTGTGGTTTGAGTCCTACACCTGTTGGCTTGTAAAACAAATCAGGAGCGTGGGTGTGCATGCTAAAAATCCTGAGAGGAGAATGGGGAAGGGATTATGGTACGGTCATTCTCCTAGGGAGGGAGGGTGCTTTCTCATTTTCCCTCTGTGTCTCTCCTGCAAGTGCATGCACAGTACAGTAAAATAAAAAGAAAAAAAAAATTTCAGGGCCAGCAGGGGGCATAATAATTAACAATTATGCTAGACTCCCACATGGCTGACCATGGTTCAAATCTTAGACCTGGTGGCTTGAAAATCACACTGAGAGGAAAGAGGAGGAGAAGGGAATATGGTATGCTCATCTCCCCTGGGGATGATTTCTTATTTTTCCTCTCTCTGAATCTCTCTGTCTCTCTCTTTTCTGGCAAATGCATGTTCTCTATGAAAAAATCCTTAAAAAAAATTTAAACACAATAAAATTTCTCAAATAAGTAAATAATCATATAAACATATTATTAAATTATTACTAGTACATATAAACAGATAAAACAATTATTAGAATACTTCCTAAACAATATCTATTAAAATATGCACAACTTGGATATTTTATCCACTTTCCATATGATTATCATTTTTTTTTTTTTTTTGGAGAGGTTTTTGCTATAGGTGCGTGCACTTGTCAGAAAGACAGAGAGAGATAGAGAGACAGAAAGCGAGAAATCACTCCAAGGGGGGGATGGCCACGCCACAATCCCATCTCCTCCACTCTTCTCTCAGGATCTTGGGCGTGCATGCACACGCGCCCGGCATGAGTTTAAGCCACCGGGTCCGGGACTTGAACTGTGGCTGACTACATGGGAGTCCAACGACATAGCCATTACACTAACTGCTGATCCCATATGATTATCATTTTCAAGTACAATTTATATAATATTCAGGATATAAATACCTGATATATACTTGACCAAAAGACCAAAACAGGTAAAGAAAAAAAGAAATCAGGGAACCAGCAGTTAGTGTAATGGCTATGTCGCTGGACTTCCACGTAGTCAACCGTGGTTCATGTCCCGGACCCGGTGGCTTACAACTCACGCTGGGCGCGTGTGCATGCATGCCCAAGATCCCGAGAGGAGAATAGAGGAGAAGGGATTGCGGCGTGACCATCCCCTCTGGGGGGTGATTTCTCGCTGTCTCTATGTCTCTCTCTATCTGTCTGGCGAGCGCATGCGCCAATAGCGTAAAACCTCTCCAAAAAAAAGCAAAAAATATATAATTATTGGATCATAATTTTTTTTTTTTGTTATATGGTATATGTGCTCTCTAGTCTAGAGAGAGAGAAATGACCCCCCAGGGAGGATGGCCATGCTGCAATCCTTTCTCCTCTTGGGATTTTGGACACACACACTCACATGCACCTGACATGTTTCTCAAGCCCCCCTGTCTGGGACTCAAACCTCCCAATTGGCCATTTGGGATCCAGTGCCTTAACCACTATGCCACTTGCTGGCCCCCTAAAGTTTCTTTTTTAACAAAGGAATTTATCTTAGCCTACATTAAACAAGAGTAGTCAGTTTGACACTAACACTGATGTGTTTCTGGTAGAACACATCCACCACCTAGTGGAAAATACATAAAATACAGTTTACATTTCCATGTGCTTTTATTCAACGATAAAAAACATGATTGTAACTAAAATATTGCAAATTCTGTTAGCAACAAGAGGCACAATATCAATTCACCTTGAAATTGTTTGACAGCCTGGGGAAGTATCTCATCTCTTTAAAAATAACCTTTCTGTGAGACCCATCCCATAGTAAGATACCTGTAATATATATATGTGTTTTTTTCTCACTAATATGTTTTCTAGTCATCTTTTTAGTCCCTTCTTTTAAGACTATAAATATGTCCCCATCTCTTTTTCAAGAAAACAAACACAATCCTTCATTGATCTCCACTGCCTTATCTGTTTTCTTTTAACTTTGCAGTCAAACTTAATTGAGTGTACTATGAGAACTACCTTTTTTCTCTCTGAAATTTGGCTTTTGTTCACATTACAATTCACTGAAACAGCTCTACACAGTCAATTTCTTTCTTAATTTTTATTCTTCTTGGTATAGCAATTAAAGATCATTCTCATTAGAGTTACATTTCTCATACAAGTCCTCTTATTAGGTCTCTGAGGCACAACCTACAGACATTCCTTGGAGGGTCAGCTATCTTCACATAATGCTCACTATAGTTTAAAGCAAGGAAGGCCAACTGTGACTTGGTGGTTAAGGGAGCTGGATACCATGTAGCTAACTCTGAATTTCAAGTCCTGGACTTGGCAGCTTGGAAAACATGCTGACGCATTCGTGTGTAAACTCTAAATCCTGAAAGGATGGAGAGATGGAGGAGAAGAGATTGCAGCATGCCCCATTGGGGAACACTTTCTCCCTCTCCCTCTCTCTATGTCTCTTAGGCAAGCACACACACTATAAGGCAACTTGAAAACAAAGAAAAAAGCCAGGGATACAATTATGAAAGTTTCTGCTAATTTCAGTTTCTGGTTCTTTATGTATTGTACATATGCTTTTCAACATTAAATAGTTGCTGTCTAACACTGAATGGTCCCTTCAGCTAATGCAAAAATAATTTTCCACAAATTAAGAAATTACATAGTCAGCCAGCCTATGATGTGGTGGTTAAGGCACTGGATCCAACATGGCTGACTCTGCAGTTCAAGTCCTGGGCCTGGTGGCTTGAAAAACATGCTGGCATGTGTGAGTACATTTCCAAAATCCCTAGAGAGAATGGAGGAGAAGGGATTATGGTGTGGCCATCCTCCTTGGGGAGTGATTTCTCACTTTCCCTTTCTTTGGCGAATGCATGCATCCTATGGCTCCCCCCAAACAAAACAAAACAAAACAAAAAAAACAAACAAAAAAACCAAACCACTTGCTGCTACAGTAATTTTATAGTGTCCCCCACCTCCAAAATATATACACTTATACATGCACATAACATACATAAATCAAACGGATTACCAAAGGTAAAAGGAAGGAAAGCGTGAAATTCTCTGTTTAAGAATGGAACCAAAGTAAATTAGCATACACAACCTAGTAATCCAATGAAAAATAAATTCTATTTGTTATTTGTAGTGATACTAACCCTTTAGAGACTCCAGCTCTGTCATTTACAATCTTCACTTCTTTTACAGACCCATACTGGGAAAAAAATTTTCTTAAGTCATTTTCATTTGTCTAATGATATAAAAAGAAAACATTAAAAACATTTTTAAATTAACAAAACATTTTTAAATGAACAAAAGTGAAATGTTGCTTGTGCTTGCTTAGAAGACAGAAAAGTTATAAATAACTGAGCACCTCTCATCATCAAAACAGTGCATGAAACCACTTAGGTATTAAAATCAACATTGTCTAAAAAGTCATGATGCATTGTAGCATAGAAAAACTTCAACCTTGTGTTGTGTAGTAGCTATCCTGTCTATCCTGTTAAACTACTGTATAGCAATAAAAAAATATTGAGCTGAATTATTTTAAATCTATAAAGAAAGTTCATGATCATAGAATGAATCTTTAAATGATTATTGTTGGCAGTTTCTAAGAAACTAATTTGGATTAGATTTGTTATAACCATGGTAAAAGCATATTACTACTGACTCTTGTGGTTCAGAGAGGCCAACAGTCATGGCAGTGGAACTAGGTTATGGTGGCCCATGCCAGTCTCTTTATTTTAATCAGAATGCTCTCCAGGAAGAGTCAGGTCTTAGGAAAGGAATGTATTTCCCAAAGCACTTGAACTCAAACTTGTGGTAACAATGGAATGACTATAAAAGATCTAAATATATGAGATACTATAACTGTTTTCAATCCAGACTTCAGATAAATATAGACATTATGACACTCAAGTAGCTAAACATTGTACCATATGTCTACAAAGCTGATTTTGGCATATCTAGTTGTAATGAAAATAGTCTAATAGACTCATATCACATTTTCAGAGTGCTTATTCTGCAATTTTTATTTTCTGGTTTACCTGTAACTGCCTCTAAGAATAACTTTAAATGTCCCCAGAAAAAAATTTATATACATGGGAAAAGACACATCTTAGGGCAGAACTATGGCTTTAGAGTTCAACTGTTACGTCACTACTTAAATAAATTATTGATTTTTTTAGTTGGTAACAAAAAACCTGCTAAACTGGATAATGACAATACTGAGTTAATCTAAGAATAACTGAATCCCTTTTATTTCAATAAACATAGAAAGGAATTAATGCCAGAATAGGATTGCTATTAGACTTGAAAACGAATTAATTCTGCCATTAGAGATTTGAAAACAAATTAATTCAAACTGTTCTCTGGTAGGAGAATGGCCAGCTCACATTTGCAGCTCTACTTCTTTGTTGAAAAGGAGACAGAAAATCTTAGTGATTAAACATTAAAAGGAATAATCTGTAGGCTTCTGAAAATTAGAGGTTTTAAAAGCCTGAGACTGGGGCCAGCAGGTGGCATGATGTTTTTAAGATTCTGGATTCCACATGGCCAACTCTGTGGTTCAAGCTCCTGACCCTATAGCTTGAAACATATGCAGGGCACATGTGTGTGCATGCCCAAAACCCCAAGAGAAGAATGGAGGAGAAGGGATTGTGGCATGACCATCCCTTCTGTGGCAGAGATTTTTCACTTTCCCTCTCTGTCTGTCTTCAGCAAGCACATGCTCCCTGTGGCGGGGGAGGGGGGGGGATGGGATAAAGTTTGCTGCTACAGTAAACTATTTTCTTGCTGTAATTTTTCTATGACATTGAAAACAGCATAGTGGAAGAAACCCCATCAGTTACCTTAAAGTTAAGGCTGTATTATTATTTATTTATTCATTTATTGAAAGAGAGATTTTTTGCTATAGGGCGTGTGTGCTCGCTGGAAAGATAGAGAGAGACAGGAAGTGAGAAATCACCCCCTGGGAGAATGGCCTCACCACACTTGCTTCTCCTCCATTCTCCTCTTGGGATTTTGGGCATGCAAGCACATGCTCCTAGCATGAGTTTTAACTCCCTGGGTATGGTACTGGAATCATGGTTGACTATGTGGGAGCCCAGAGACATAACCATTATTGCATCTGTTGGTCCTGCTATGGCTACATTGTATCAATGATCTGCATAGTTCATATTATAGCTAGTAGGCTTTAACCTAGAATAATCTGGCCAAACAAATGTTTATATTTACTGAAAAATTAAAACAACACACTAAGCTACTATAAATGAATTCTGAACAAGAATATTATTTTTGATAATTAATATTTTCTGCTTATTTTGATAAATTAATATTTTCTATACAGAAAATCCTTTAAAAATAAACATGTTATATGCAATAATTTTCTTCCTTCTTAGAAAAATAATCACATATTTGTTCAAGACACATTATTTTGGAAAATACACTAAAGTAACATTTCTCTTGAATAGGAAAAAAAGTAATTTTACTCAAATTGTGATAGATTATAGGAATGGTGAGTTATGTGAAAAATGATACCTAATGGCCTAAGGGTTTTTGTTGTTAGAAAGGACAACTCTCCCTATAATTTCTAATATGTACTATGAGAGCCTGGAGATGCTTCTATATATCCATTTGGAAATAAGGGTATTCTACTCAATGTATCCATGAATGCTTTTTTTATAGTTGTTTACTACAATATTACTTCCCACATAAGGAAATGATGAAAATAATCTCACAAACTATATCTCTCTGAAAGAGTGAGATGAAATAGCTGATTACATGGTTTAAATATATTACTGTTAAGATGCTTTTTTTCTCAAGAGGAACATGGGCCTTTTTTGGTGATCAAATTTAGAATCTTTTCGTAGAAAGTAATTTGCAAAAGATGAAAGTCTAGGAGGTTGCTTAGAAATCTGAGATAAGATTCAGAAAGACGCAGGATTTCATAGGACTAAAAAAATATTTTTTAATTGAGTTTTCTTTTGGAAATCATAATCACTGGGTCAGCTAGTGGCAAGGTGGTTAAAGTGGCTTGACTGAACATGACTGATTGCATGATTTGAGTCCTAGACCCTGTGGCTTGAAAAACATGCCAGATGTGTGTGCGCATGCTAAAAATCCTGAAAGGAGAAATGGAGAAGGGAATGCAGTGTGCTATACACCTGGGGGTGGTGGTGGTGGTGGTTGTATGTGCTTTCTTACTATCCCTGCTATGGAGAGTGCAGGTGTCCTCTAGCAAATTAAAAAAAAATAAAGAAAAAGAAAATCATAATCACTCATTATTTGGGCCACTGGAGTATTATGCAAGAAAGTAAAATTAGTGTGGTATGGACATGAAGAATATGGAACTATGAGTCAGAAAACTAGCATTCTAGTGTTACTCTGCCACTAAGTAGCTAGAAGCCTATTACTATAAGCTCATTGGGCATCAATTTCCTTGTATGTGGAACTGAACAATTCTATATGTTGTATTTAATCTACATAATTGTTGAAAGACTCTTTATATTAAAATAATTTGAAAGGCATTAATCATTATGCAAATATGTTATTATTTTATAGTTGCACAAAGAAACAATTTCTAAGAAATCAAATAACACTAATGAAAAATATACACTATGCTCATGCGTAAATAGGTACCTTAAAGTCAATTCCTCCTACAAAGATGCGATTTGGGATCACCGTTCCGTATCTTGGGGCACTTGCTGGGTTATTCAAAGGCACAGGTGACACAGGATTAGGGGATGGAGATAATGAATCTGTTTGAGTCTGATTTGATGTTTGCTGTAAAATAAAATTCTTTTAAACTTTTAACACTGGTATCAGTTTTGATACAGGCTGAAAAAATCTTTCAAAAAGATGGGTCATTTACACAAAGTATGGTATCCTAGACTTTTTTGATATTATGACATTTATAGTTAAGAGTTAATAGTTTTGGGGAGAAGCATAAAATATAGGAAACAGAATCTATTCCACTATAGAGACGATATTAAATACATTATTTAAATATACTTATATTAATTATCATGAAATGTATTATTTAAAGAGGAGTATTAAAACATAAAAGAAGTTTAAAAGAAAAACAGTCCTGGATAGCTAAAAGCTGGCCTGTCACCACCAATTAGGCCCTGGTTTGTTAGGAGTTTGCTTGGCACTCACAGCTAGGCTGTGGTCTCTTTTTAACAGAACATCAACATCAGACACAGTCATTCTGACTGTGATGGATCAAGATAAAACAAGACCACTCCATCAGTATTCATGTCTGAATATTGACAAAAACTAAAGCATTATCCAAACCTCAAGTATGAGTAAATATCCCTCTATCCTGGCTATTATGAGTGACTGCTCCTTCTTTACCAACCACAACTTTAGTGTTGATACATTTTTCTTGTCTTTTAGATAAGAATACACTCAATCATAGCATTACTCCCATGTCCTGACAACATGCATTCGTAAGTAACGCCCTTCTTCCTTAAACTCCCTCTAAAAATCATGTAACACAGAACTAAGCCCTGTCAGTTATTTCTAATACAACTTATTGTAAAATAAATAAATAAATAAACACACACACACACACACGCACACACACACACACACACACACACATACAACTCATAAGTATACTTTTTTTTTACACCAAAGAATTGAGTTCAGTAACATATCCACAATTCTGAGGACCTAATTTAAATTTTAATAAATGTGCATTAACATATAAGCCTCTGCAAAATGGCAAAGGTAATAGACTTGTAAGGCACAACAGAAAAAAAAAAAACAAGAATTGATAGTTTTTGGAAGAGAAAATGATTCAAGACATTGCTAATTATTTTCCGTCTAGGAACAGTAGGCAGACTTCTGAGATAGTCCAACATACTAAATGAATGCTTCACAAAGCTTGAAATTTGTAACTGCAATTCTCTGAGAAACATACATAAAAACAAATTTGCAATTTATGTAATAGAATTGTTCTTTTCCACAGTTTTCCTCTGTCACTTCATTGGTTGAAAAAACCCATAATCCCTAATTTAAGGGATTATGGCCACTATGACTATTAGACTGGACTTCTTCCCCATCCAGTCTTGAAGTGGGAAAATATATACACCCTAACAAAGGAGTTCACAAATACTTCTTTTAAACAGAAAAGTCATCAAAAAGTTACTATGTTGTAGTTTCCACCAAAAAAACCTGGAAATCTAATTATTTTTTTCTTTCTTAGAGATTTTTGCTATAGGGTGCATGTGCTTGCCAGACAGAAAGCTAGATATCATCCCTCAGGGGGGATGGCCACTTGGCAAACCCTTTTTTTCTCAGGATTTTGGGCACATGTGTACACACACTCTGTGTGAGTTTTAAGCTGCCAGGCTAGGGACTCGAACTGTGGTGGAGTACGCGGGAGTCCAGCCACATAACCATTAGGCCATCTGCTGGCCCCTGGAAATCTAATTTTAACTGCTATTCTCTGATCATTTAAAGTCACTTTCTCCAGTAGCTAAATTTTTCCTCCCTCCCTCCCTTTTACTTTCAGACAGGTTCTTGATACATGGCCCAGGGTGGTCTCAAACTATCAAGAGAAAACTTTCTGTCCCTGTGTCCTACAGGTGTATGCTGCTTAGTCTCCCTTTTCAATGGTGGATCTGTAGTGCTAAAGATAATACAATAGCTCTAGTAGACATAATTCTCTCTGCTCATTTGTTTATAGAGTGTAGAAATTACCAGTTTGCAGGACCAGCAGTTGGTATAAAGGCTATGTGGCTGGACTCCCATGTAGTCGACCGCAGTTCGAGTCCTGGACCCGGTGGCTTAAACTCATGCTGGGTGAGTGTGCCCAAGAACCTGAGAAGAGCATGAGGAGAATGGATCGGTGTGGCCTTTGCCCCTGGGGGGGTGTGTGTGTGTGATTTCTTGCTTTCTGTCTTTTTGTCTCTCTCTGTCTTTCTGGCCAGTGCATGTGCCCTATAGCAAAAACCTCTCCCCCAAAAAGAAAAAAAAATACCAGTTTGCTAAATTTTAAAAAGGTCAGTTTTTATGAAATTCTCTTAAAAACAAGTGTTCAATGGAAGAACTCATTTGTTCTCAAGTTTGTTTAAAGACGAACTCTATATTTTGCATTGAGAGAGGGATAAAATGAACAAAATGCTTTACTTCCAATTTTGAGAAATTAAAGGATACTCACTGAGAAAAGAAAACGTCATCTTATACCCAATTAACTTCATTCTCCTGTCTCTAAGGCTCCTGCTCTATTGTGGGTTCCAACTGTTTTTTCTCCTTACCGCTTATCATTTTCTATATAACTGACTTATTATGTTTATAATGTCTCTTTCCACTGCAGTGTAATGTTCATGATGGCAGGGTTTTTGCCCGTTTTTTGTCACAGCAGCATCTCTAAGTAGTCACAGAACACAGCAGGTACTCAATGAATATTTGCCGAATGAATACATGAACGAATCATTTTTGCAGGCCAGACCGCTTCACGATATGCCATACATTAGGCAGAAGGCTTAAGAATAGGGCATTAATAATAGCAAAAAAAAAAAAAAAAAGTTAATGTGGGCAATTACAAAGTTCAGGAACAGGCCACTATAAACTCTTTAGAGGAAGGCAACTGAGCACTGGATTAAACAACAAAGCAAGTCTCCAATTCTGGGGCAATAATTAGACGTGCTTTTAAAAGCGCCTAGGTAGGGGGGTGCTATTGGGCTGGAAGAAAGAGTCCTTTGCTCAGTAAAACCTCCAGCACTAAAGAGTTTATTAAAATTCTCCTCCAAAGTCAAGTGCCCTGAGAATTAACCTGGACATCTATCATGTACTTGGCAAAGAAGGCGACAGCAAGAGGGCGGGCTAACCGTCGCAGTCACGGCCTCGGTGCTCCTTCCCCTCCGGGGCCAGCAAGTCGAGGCGCTGGGGGAAATGGCCCCAGCGACAGCTTCCTCGGGTTCTCTCGGGTCATCGTGAACTTGGGCACTGACACGAGGGTCCACCCCCTCCCCACCAAAGTGCGGGAGGGAAAAGAAGGCTAGCCAGCGAGAAATTTTGCCCCGCAAAGCCGCCAGCAGCAGTGGCGGG